CTTCGTCAGACTACTCGTGGGCCATCACGTGGGCAGCAGTTGGTACACGCCTCCAAAGAGCCGCTTGCTTTTTGGAACCGTCGACATGAGTCATAGCGACGACTCTATACAATGATGAGGTTTTAGCCTACCACTCGGAGCATATGGAGTGGTATCAAGATGTCACCAGACGTTCAGGCACACGGAGAGGAACTGTAGTGGGGGCATTGGTTAGTTATTTATTTTTTAATATATTTTTGTATTTGTCTTGAATTTCTTAACTGTGTGATATCTCTGACATTTCAATTTAAATTTCAGTACGACACTTTGGAGCATGCTGAGCTGAGTTTACGTGATGGAGTACGGACTTGATGGATGTCCACCGACCAGATGGAGGAGTTGGCCAATATGATGGCATTAGGGGATGCTACTGTAGGTTTGGATTGGCGCAGACATCCTGATGTAACAGTACCTGTACAACCTTCTTATGATCAACCCAACATGGCTGCCTGGCCAGAGCGTACTGATCTGACACCGGACTGGGTCGTCCCGGAGCCACAGTTCAGACAGGAGTATATGCCACGTAGACAGCGACGTGAGCATCGTGATGTACCTAACCCAGTCCGGATTTCAGATCGACAGCGAGCACAGCCCGTCCGGCCGACTACGACCTTCCAGTTTAATCCTCCGTTTCAGCCAGGCATTTATTCGGAACATCTGACAGGCGCCACTTCTTCAGGATTTCAGGTAGGACCTCATTCAGCCTTTCATCCTCCTCCTCAGCCGCAGTTTCACTCGGTTCCTTCTTCGAGCTTCCATCCACTAGAGGATAGCTTTCATACACCAGCACCGCAACATGCTACGATGGGAGGCGGATACATGGCCTCAGGTAGTGAAACTAGAGCAGCCTCACGTGTAGGCCCGTGGGACTCTCTAGGGGTGATCACACCTTTCAGGAAATGATGTGGTCTTATGAGCAAGAGCTTCAGGCGCGACAGTATGGTGGGGGCGGTGTACCAGATGAGCAGATTCAGTCTCATGAGGATGATATGTTCGGTACACAGGATCAAGATGATGGTGTCGAGGGAGATCAACCCCAGCATTATGATGGTAGGCCTCCACAGATCAGGCGACCAGTGAGGTGTGGTAGTGGCGGCCATCTAGTGGATTAGCATGGTGGTCGTCGTGGTGGTCGTTAGTGAGACTATTATAATTGTTATGATTATTATGCAATTCTTTGGGATATTTATGTGGACTATTTTTAATTTCATGTATTATGTTATTAACATTAACTATTCGGAACAACTAATAACAAACAACAACAACTCGGACACTTTATAATAGTCCCAACAACAACAACCTACAAGTGGAAAAACAACAACTACTTCAAACCATAAAAACTACTTGAAAAACAACAACTACTTCAAACCATAACAACTACTACATTCGACCAAACCACATACCACGTCTATTACCACTACTTCCTCTTCCACCACCTCTCGCACGTTTTTGGCCACCACTTCCTCTTCACTGGCTACCACTCCCACTTGCTTGGCCACCACAAGTTGATGCATTATGGCCACTTTGGTTATAGTTGCTACACACTTGTTGTGATACACCCTCTCTTGGTCAATCCATCTTGTTGTGAATTCTTGTAACTCGTGACCTCCCCGGCTTCTTAATCATGTGCACATTAAGATGGAGAATATGACCATTATGTTTCTTCCAACCCTTAGTTTCACCAAGAGGAGTGAAACTTGTCCCATAACAAGCCAACAATGTTTCAATCTTGTAGACATCGTTTACAGACCTACACGGATTAGCCCCCATTCGGTTGCAAGCTGCAATGGCATGAGAGCAAGGAATTTTATTTCCTTGAAATTTCCTTCAAGTGAAAAATCCCGCCTGGTTGTTGTCGTCGAAGTGCACTGTGAGTGTGTTCGAACCCGTCATGTTGAAATTGTTGGAAGGAGTCTGAACTACATAGATGCCTTGACGTCGATCAACCCCAGTCACGGAATGTCCAACTGCTTTTTGTGACTATGGCTTCATCATCTCTTCGCACTTGATGGTGTACTATGAACGACCACTTCTGATTTGTGCTTCTGTCTCCAATCTCATCTTGTCGAATTTCTCCAACAATCGCCAATAAGTATGTTGCACAAGAGAAGCTATAGGAAGTGAACGAATACCTTTGAAAACACTATTGATGCTCTCTGCCATTCTGGATGTCAAGATAGACCATCGACACCCACTATTATAGTTATCATGCGCTAAGCTCCAACGAATTTGATGTTGGTCTACCCAGTTATCACAAGAAATATTCCTATCAGCGGCGACCTTCTTAAATTTCTCAACTTGACAATCAAACTTCTCCAAATGTTTTTCTCCGGCTAACAAAGTAAATAACCACACGAGTTAGATATATTCATGACAAAATTAATACATTAAAATAAATAACAAATTAAATGAAGAAGGCTTACCGACTCGAAATAGTTGCTTTTACATAATTTTGCTTTAAGGCTTTCTTTGCAAATTGTTTGCATAGTGTCGCATGCACCACCTCCATTCCTAAACTCTTCCGATGTCACTCATTGCTTCATAGAGTCCCGCATGTCTATCTGAGATGATGCAAACATCATTTCGATCGGTCAAACCTTGAAGGTGGTTTATGAACCATGACCAACTATCAGTATTCTCGCTTTCCACGATGGCAAATGCTATTGGAAAAATCTTCTTCCGACCATCAAATGAGCTCGCCATGAGTAGCACTCCTTTATACTTTCTAGTAAGAAATGTTCCATCAACAACCATGACTCCTGGAAAATTCTTGAATCTATCTATACAACGTCCATAAGCCCAGAATACTCGCTGAAAGATTGAATGACCTAGTTGAGCTGAAGGAACTCTTACCCAATCAATCACTGATGTTGGCATTTTTCTCTTTACCACCCGCAAGAATGTTTGCAAATAATCGTAGGATTCTTCCCAATTTTCATGCAACTTCTCAAATGCTCTTTGTTTCCCATACCAAGCCTTCTTGTAAGTAACTTGCATATTAAATTTATCTTTCAACTCGCCCTGCACAGTTAGAACACTCAGATTTGGTTGGGCACGTACAAAATGTTTGACGGACTCATATATAATATCGACATCAAGATGGCGATGATCCGTCGGTTGAGTCGTACTGCTACAAGAATGCATCAACTCGGTCTTTCTCACAGTCCAATCGCTTCCAACATCTCGACATCCAAATAGCACCATCCAAGGACAATTGTCATCCTTGTGCTTCAAGCATCTGACCTTCCAGATTGAAGGTGACGACTCCACCACGCGATATTGAAAGTTGTGTTGTAGTGCGTGGTATTTAATCGCCACCTGTGCAGCGTGTTTCGAGTGAAATATCTACCCCTTGTAGAATTCTCCTTCAAAACTAACAACAATAGGCATTGGAATTACGACATATGAATCAACATATGATAATTCGTCGTCCTCTTCATTACCCTGCAAGTAAAAATATGGAGGATAATTAGGCTGCTCTCCTTCACTATCCTCCTCCTCCTCCTCCTCCGCATCTTCCTCCTCTCCTTCAACATCGTCATGATCAGATGGCATACTCCATGTATCTTCTTCCTCTCCATCCCGATTCTCACTGAGCTAAACATGTATCTCAACACCCAAAAAATAAGGGTTTTGTGCCATAAAATCAAAAAGCACATTCAAACTATCATCATCCACAATAGGCATCAAATAATGAAATAAAACACCATTCTGCCATTGTGGAAGACGGTAAGTGAAACTTGTGATCACTTCACTATCTTGTACTGCTTCGTCTCAACGCCGTATTCTCGGAATTAGATTCTCACAAAGTTTGTGATATGTCACACTGGATGGAACCGTCAACCGAAAACTACTACCACCAACGAATTGGACGCCCAAATTATCCTCTACTTTCTTTGATTTCCACTAAATGACTAGTTCAAATCTTCTAAAATCACTACAGAAAAACAAACTCACTAATTAACTAAACAAAATCATAATAGCATTTGAAGAATATAATTAAAAAAATAAATGTGTCTCTTACCTATTAGCCATTTCTGCAGCAGCAACCAGAGCTTCTCCTCCTCTAACTTCGTCGATTTTTTTTGTGGTGAGCAACTGAAACGAAACTCGCTGGTTTTTATAGGGAGCCAGAAATACGCCAGCGGACCCGCCATAGTCCTGGGCGCCATTGCTAGGTACAAATTCCCACCTACGCGCCTTAGTCTCTGGCGCTACTAGGGGTGGGCAAACGGTTCGGTAAACCTGAACCGAACCGAACCGAAACCAAATTAAACCGAACCGAAACCGAATTAATACTATTCGGTTCGGAATTTGGAAGGAAAATATGGATAGTTCGGAAATCAGGGTTCTTTCAACCAAACCGAATTTCGGAATTTCCGACCGAAAAACCGAAATACTATAATTGCAAGCTCCAAATGGTGGATTTTTATGTTTGTAGTTGTTTTTAGACTTAAATATTTGAAATGTTTTATGACTTATGTGTTGAAAAGTTTGATTTTATCATTGATGATGCATATAATTGATATTTATTGTTTATATTAGGGGTGAAAAATAATTTAAAAGTGAGAAAATACAAGTAGCTTCACAAATTCGGTTTTGGGTGAAAAACCGAACCGAATTATAATTCGGTTTAAACCGACCGAACCGAATTATAATTCGGTTCGAATTCGGTTTGAGATTTGGGAAAATTCGGGGACCCTGTATTCATAATTTCGGTTCGATCGAAACCGAACCGATCGAATGCCCACCCCTAGGCGCTACCACCTCAGTCTTGGGCGCCGCCGCTGCCACCTTAATCAAATGATGAAAAAAACCGAAATAGCAGCAACGCCTGAGTCTTAGGCTTTCTCGCCGAGTTTGTTCTTTAAAACACAATTACTGTTTCAATACTTTGTAATCCGCCATATTGACGATAAATTAAAATAAAAATACAATATTTATGTCATTAACCGTCATTGCATTTGATTTAGAATATATTGCGGAATATGTTGCCTCCCAACTGACAGATTCTTTCAGGTCTTGTAGTCCACGCATGCATTAGGATGAAGGAGCTTACTCCCTACTAGTCTTTCAGATGGAGGTTTCCTTAATGAGATTGATCCTGAAGTCATATGACTATCTGATCAGTTGTCTTCTTATTCTTCTTCCTATCCTCCATCTCACTATCCGAACAAATTATCTGGTCTCCAAGTTTGAAAGACTTTACCGAAGCTAACTAAGAAAGCAAGTACGTTGAGGAAACAAAATCAGCATGAAGGCTGAAATCTGACAATATACGTTATCGAGAAGTGTCATCCCCTTAGAGACCTTGTATCTCAACTTTTGGTCATGGGATATCATATCAGCATTCCCTACTCCCAGTTGATCACAATTAAGCACCGAGAGCCCACACCTAGAAACAGAGCTGGTCCACCAATATATTCCCCAGACACCTTCAGAGATGGTTAGTGAGAGCTTTCAGAAAAAAAAAAATGGTTTAGAGAATCTGAAATCCCACTCATTTCATTGAAGCAAGGGTTGGAGAAAGATTGGCAGCTAAGGCTTAGCCATGATGGACTCACACAGCCTTCAACAGTTAATGCACAGTAGAATAGAAATCAGAAAACTGCAGACAGTAACAACCCTCGCAGCTCCCAAAGAATGCGTAGAATGCATTTGGCTATAAACGTTGTGACGAGCTGGTATGAATCTGGTGGCTGCTGCTCTGCTTTGCTTAACTGAACCTGAGGTAGACCTAACAGTCACAGATGATTGTACATGGCACAAGCATGAAGTAATGAACAGTTTCTATCACTGGAGAGGTTACAACCACTGGCTAATAGAAATTGTCAAAATCTAACGTCCGAGAGTGAAAATGCTTCAGGCTTGTGGAGAATGCTAATAGACTAAGAAACAATGTGAACCCTTATTACCACTGATCATAGATTCAACGGAATCACCATTCACCAACAAGAATGTACAACTCAAGGACCTGCACCAGGAGAACTCAGAAGAATGATTATCACATCAATGGTGCTCAATGAGGTTGGGTTTTGATTTGATGCATAAACAAGCACTTGGCTGCTGCAAGTCTATTTTATCTCCTTTCAACTCAGTCGCATACTGCTTCTAAATCTATGGCTACAATGAGGAAAAGGGTACCTTGGCTAAAGCAGTGGAGCTTATGTAAATAATGTTCCCCAACTTATGGCAACTCTTTTAAGGCATCTGCTCCAGCTATGATCTCTAACAACTCGCCCGTGATTTTAGCCTGGCGTTCTCTGTTGTAAACAACAGAGAGATTCTTGGTCAACTCAACTGCATTATCAGTTGCATTACTCATCGCATTCATCCTCGATGCCAGCTCACTCGCATATGACTCCTGAAGTGCTCTCAAGATCTGGCTGTTCAAATAAAGAGGCATCATAGCATCAATTATTTGGACAGGGTCCTGCTCAAACTCCATAAGAGGTGAAAGCCCCATACCACCTCCTTTGGCACTCACACTCTCCCTCTCCACAGCCAATTTCCCTTCCTTACTCGTTAACCTAAAGAACTCATCTTCAGTAGCATCAACCGAATCACCATTAGCAGCCCGGATGCCTCCTTTAGGCGACAAAGGCAGCAATGTCTGGATCACTGGTTTCGACTTGATCAACGACACAAATTTAGTGTACACAAGCTCAACCTTATCAACCTCTTCAGTTATAAACATTGAGAAAACATCATCAGCAATCATTTGAGCCTCCTTTGCTGTGGGGAAACTGTTCCCTTCAACGAACCTGTCAACTGAAATGTTAGGCCTGCGCATATAGTACGAATTACCCTTCTTCCCCACACTGATCACAGAGCAATCCAACGCAAGCTTTCCTAATTCAGCCATCCGGGCTTCTGCCTTCCTCAAAACAGCATTGTTAAAACCACCACAGAGACCCCTATCACCCGTGACAACAACGAGAGCAACTTTCTTGACGGGTCTAACCTCTGTTAGAGGAACATTAACGTCCTCTGGCTGAAGGCGTTCGTTGATATCATAGAGCACATCAAGTAAGGTTTCGGCAAAAGGTCTGCCGTTGACCGCAGCTTCTTGAGCTCGCCGGACTTTTGCAGCAGCCACGAGCTTCATTGCCTCGGTGATTTTTTTGGTGTTCTTGACTGATTGCATCCGCTCCCTCAGCTCACGGATTCCGCAGCAGATTAGAGCTCTTGGTGGTGTCTGAAAGGAAGCTCCTTTCCCAATCGAAAGGCCGAATGGGTTGGATTGAAATTGAGAACAGAAGCCAAAAGTGTCGACTTTCGACAAGTTTGGAGTGACCCACAATGCTAGATTGGCAGAGGACATGATTCGGATTCAGGGAAGACCCAAGAGCAATCAGAAGATAAACCGCTGTCTACCAAATCCTTTGCACAGCAGTGATATCTAAGGGTTTTGCTGAGAGAAGCAGAACAGTGAAACTTTGGGAGGCTGCTGAAGACGGATAAGTAAGAGGTCGATTGAGCTTACCAAGAAGAAAAATATCGACTTAATGAGGAGGCTTACAATCAGGGCATCCACCAAGAGCCTCGCCGTTGAAACCGGTCAACAGGGGCTGGTGACAAACGAGATATGGTTTCCGGCGAATGAATTTGAATTCTCCGCCGGTGCGGTTTAGGAGGTGAGGTGCTAGCGGCGGCAGGGACCAACCAGCAGCCAGCCTCTCTGACCGGAGCTTCCAAAGTGGAAATTAAACCCTTTTAGCGAGGTAAAAGAAAAAAAAAAATTCTACCAATTTTGAAACAAATGTCGGGTTCCGGGTCAGGAGCACGAATGCAAACCGGTTGACCGACTTATGTGGGTCGAACTGAAAACCCCCCATTGCCATCTTCCGGACAGAGAGCCCTGCAAAACAAGGTTGAAAATACGGAATCATACTCTTTCCGTCTCTTCTCTTCTGCAACCGTCTGCTGTTTCCTTCCGTAAATGGGTTCGAATTAACTCCGCCGAAGATTGGATTGGCGAAAATGTCGAAATTTTTCGCGCGAATTTCTGGCTACTTCAGCAACCGTGCTTCCGCTGGGGTGGACAAAGCAGGAAATCGCTACTTCTCCAGAATAGAAGAGATCGATGGCGTAAGTAAGTACATATCTTTTCTCCTCATGATTTTTTCTATTGGTCTTAAGCCCTTCTGTTCGTTCTTTTTCTTCTTTTGAGCCCTGCTGTTGCCATTATACATGGAATGTCATCTGCTTAGCTGATTTGAGCTGAAGTTCAGTGACTTGGTTATTGTAATCCAGTCAGTATATTAAGTCGCTTAACATCATTTGCAATTTCTCAATATATGTTCAGCCCTCAATCTTGTAGTGATTATTTGCAGCGAAAGAGAAAAGATGGGTGAAATTTAAAGGAGAGCAGGATCCAACTTCAGTACCAGGTTAGCCATATCCCAACTCTGGTTCTGCTTGGTTTGGTTTTTGGTGTTTGATTTTCTCAAACCGGCATATATTGTTAAGCGTTAGTTGCTGAGATATGGCTTTTGAACTCGTTAATGGTGGTCATTTTTGCTCCCACCATGACATGCTGGCATTGTACTGAAACTTTTAGGATGTTGAACTAGACAACTGCAAATATTCACCCCATCTTATCTTATGTGAGTGGTTTTCGGTTATTTACTACTGCAGTTGAGTGGATATCTTGGCTGAATGGACAGCGGAAGAATGCTCCAACTCCCGAGGTATAGTAGTAGTTATGTTTGTAATGTTTGATGTAAGCTTCACAGGCATAGGAGAAACCTTCTTATGGGATTGCATCATGTTCACACTTTTCATTAGAGAAGTGGGTTCTGGGTTTGAGCATCTTGTTGAACCAAAATTTTGTCTCGTCTGGTTCTTGATCAATAACAAACTGCATTGTACTTTTGAGTGTCCTGTGTCTGATATAAAATATTGCATACTAGATTTCTAAGTACTATTTGATTGTAACTTTGGAGGAATTTCTTCTCCTTGTGTGGGAAGTGGCATCATTATTGGTGTTTTTCTTTTCTTGGCACTTGTTAGATGTCCTGAGCAGAACCATTCCAACCATTTGCTTTTTCATTTTCTCTTCAGGAAATGATGATATTAGAAGCAAGGCGTGAACAAGTGAAACAAAATGTTGCTCGTACGTGTCACATGTGCAATCAGTTGGATGTTCTTAAAATGATATCTGTGTAGTTCTTTGCCTATATCTACTGCAATCTCATATCTGAACTTCCTTAATCTGTTAAAAGAGCTGGGTGTGGGAATTTAAGTACTTATACATTGAAGAGTCGTCACTGAACCGTAGAACTGAGTATACTTATCACTTTATATCCTAGAAAGTACTATTTAGAAGGTTTCTGCTCCTATTTCTTCTGCTGTCATAGTACCACCTTATGAGAAACAAGCATTCAGTATCTGCTGTGGTGAAGCATCTAAACATTAATTTGGTGAATGCGCGCTAACTCATATTGCTGACAAGCAGAAAATGTAGATGTCATCAATGGTCTTTAGCATAATGTATGTATCTATGCTGCATACTGGAAGTCTAGTTTCCAGATGCTTGTTGTTGCCCTATTGTATTTTCTCATTTCTTTTCCTTGCATCTAAATCAGTGCCTTCGATAGTTCTGTTGCTGGGTCGCTGTGGCCTGCAGTGTTTAGATTGGACAATTTGTAGAACTCGTGTTCAGCTTTTACTAGCTCTCGGCTAGGACTTCAATAAACATTTTGTTTCCACTTTTGCAGTTCTCAAAAAGGAGGAAGAGGAAAGAAAAGCCAAGGAGGGCAGTTCCCGCAAAGTTGTTACCTCAGGTGAGCTAGCTTCACCCCCATGGCGAGTCTTGCTATTTATTAGCCGACCTTAGTACAAGGAGCTGATTCATTCTACTTTGCACTTTGTATAGGTAAAGGTTCAGGCCCAGACTTGAAGAGTTTCATGCGACAGTTTCCTACTTCCGGAGAAGGTAGACCTCCTTTCCAACAACATAGAACAAGAGACTTTCGTGGCTCATAAATTTTTTATGTGATCTTTTATTGTAGTTTTAGTTCATTGGACAAACAATTCATATCCCACATTTTCTGTCTCAGTTTAGCCTTATATATTTCAAGTTTTCATGGTGGCGCTTGCTTCGCAGGTGGTATCGTAACTGAGAAGGAAGCAGATGAATCAGAAAGATTGAGGTGGGTTTATCTTTAAAGCTTATACCCAGAATGAGATCCCAACGTTGAACACTTTCTAGTGTCATTGCTCAAGCGCTTGAACTTGAATTAAATGTCATCGTGCATCCAATTGGCATTTTGAACCTTTCACGTTAAGTAGAGCTAGACTCTCATGCTGCAACCTGCAAGTGATGTTACCACTGACCACTTGTAATTCAACAGGAAGGAGGATCCAAAGACGGACGAAACTGAGCAAGAAGAGGCAGAAGGGGAACCTGTGCCACGGTATGTGTTCATAAATAGTAAATGTATAGTTGCTGGCGGTTACTACCTGGTAATGTTTATGACTTTATGTGCTTCAAACTATGGCTGATTAATCAAATCTCATCCTAACACACTCAGCTTTCTTCTTCAGGGGATCAGAACCGACAGGATCTGGAGCAACCTTCCGGCCGGGGACTTGGCAACCACCAACATAAATCTATGTTTTCAGCCTGGTGTTTTACTATTTTAGTCCCCCCGGGTTCTTATAACACTTGTTTTCTGATAAAAATGAACTGATAGTTCTACGGCAAGTTTGATATTCTCAATCATGCGGGGATATATAGTTCTTCAGAACTCTGTACCACAAACTGAGCACTGAGCGAAGAAGATGAGATGGCATTACTCTTCTTTTCATTTAACTTTTACAACTTCATTGGTTGAGTTCATAAGCTATGCTTATTACTCCATGAATCAAACTTCAAGGTTTTTTGCAAAGAGCAGCTGCAATGCAGTGCAGCAACCAGTAGACTCGATCCATGACTATTTCGTTAATATTAGCTTAATGGTAGTTCCTCCAAAGTCCAAACCCATGATCTCTTGCATCCACAGCTTAATCAATTATGCAACAGTGAGGGCATACAATGCAAATCCTGTCGACATAACCAACAATCTTGAAAATATTGAATAAACGCACCACAGCTTAACATAAATTAGGACATAACAAGTTCAGTAGTCTTGATTGGTGACAGACAGATACTTGGGGGGAAATACCAGAAGATTTCCGTCTGTTTACTCACTCCTTCACTATACAAAACTATCCATAACCCTTATTTCCTGCATCGCAACATCTAAACAAGCAGAATACAAGAGGGAAATGAATATATAAGGTCTTCTTTCATCCTAGTACGTGAGGCCTTGCATCTCCTGCCTCTTGGCTCGCCAAGTTGCAGTATGGATAACATCTTACTTCCTCCTCCTCTTGGAATCTCCCCTTCTGGTGGCGCCGGCTGTTCCTCTCCTGGAACCCACGACTGGGGCGCCATCGTTGGTAGAGGGAACAGGCAAATGATGCCCAGGAACCAAAGCAGGGAACCCAACAGCAGGGATTCTGCAAAACACAATAACAATCCCAAAATGCCATTTAGCTAAAGCAGTGCATAAACCAGAGAGATAAACCCACTAAGTAGATCAATCTTGATCAAGTTGGCAACAAACAGGTCATCGGTGTGTTCATTCATCAACGCTTAGCCAAAGCTATAAAGTTCAAGTCTTTAACAAAGCGCCAGTACAAAAACGTCACAAGATCCTGACTAACACATAGGTGGACATGTACGGAAGTATAAATTGTATTAGGCAGTTCAAAGTTTGATTCTTTTTTACTCCGCGGGAATTCCATGGTGTTTAGTAAGCCAAAGAAGGAAGAAGACATACCATCGGTGTGTTCATTCATCAACGCTTAGCCAAAGCTATAAAGTTCAAGTCTTTAACAAAGCGCCAGTACAAAAACGTCACAAGATCCTGACTAACACATAGGTGGACATGTACGGAAGTATAAATTGTATTAGGCAGTTCAAAGTTTGATTCTTTTTTACTCCGCGGGAATTCCATGGTGTTTAGTAAGCCAAAGAAGGAAGAAGACATACCCAACAAGAGCACAGCAGACTCCTGCTCGGTCGAGGTAGCACCAAACGCTGCACCACTTCCATTGTGCAAACTGAATCGCAGAGCTTGATTCTCAGCAACGCAGCATTGAAGCAATCGCCCCAGTCTCCTGCATTCCCATTCCAGATACTTGCTCTTCGACTCCAGGTCCTTCACATACTCCTTCTTCCTCTCCCTAGATCTCACCGCCGCATCCCTGTTTCTCAACTGCCTGAATAAAGGAAGAAAGAAAACAAGACATGCACACTCATCGAATTCAATTCCTTTACCATACCACACTGCACATACTTATCAAAAGCAGCAAGAGAATTAGGGCAGGGATTAACAGTTCCAACCTCTGCCGCTTCTTCAAGACGGGATCCTTAGGAGCATTGTCAACTTCAACGGGTGATGGAGGCTGGACCGGTGCTCCAGCTACAGCGGCGTCGTTGTCCTTGTCGGAAGGATCAGGGGTGCCATGGTTGTGAGAAGAGGAGGAATCATCAGGAGAAAGTTGAGGATCAGCACCGGAAGAGGAATCTGCAAAGGGAGGGAAATCAACAAAAAATTGAGCGACGAAATCGTCTGCGAACTGGGGATCGTCAGCAACAGGTTCATCATCGTCTCCCATCAAGTGGGTCTCGATCTCTTGGATCCCTTGATGAAAACCATCAGTCTCGGTCCGATCCTGAGGCGATTCATCAAGGTCGGTCCAATCGATCTGCGAGATGATGTCGTCGAACTCCATGCTGCAACCTACGACGGAGAGAGTTCCGATCTAACCTAATTGCTTAAGACCTAAGAGAACGAAAGGAAAAAATAAAAAGGGGAAAGTAAAGCTGAAGAAGAAGAAGAAGGCATAAATAACAAATTACAGGGGACGTAGTGAGGAAAGTTCGGGGAAAGGGGAGATCTTTGAGGAATTCAAGGGTGGGGCAAGGGGAGATGCTTGATCGGTGGTGGTGGGTGGGGTTTGGGTTACGTTTCTGTTTCAGAACCCTCAAAACAATAAGGAGTTGCATTTCAGTGTGGAAACTGGTTGAGGGCCGTGACATCATCCGCCCAATGATATGATTCTCCTTGTTTCAATGATTTTTTTCCACTCGAAAATTTTCGATTGATCGATCATCTACATAAATTTTCATAATGTCATTTACTAGGCAATTTTTATTTCTTCCAAAAGATCACTCGTATTACCGAGAAAACAGCCAGATACAAAATAGTCACATAGCTGAAAACAGCTAAGAAACAAAATTGAACCCCACCAAAGAAGGGGACGACGAAAGGGCTTTTCTTGCCACCAAATGGGCAACCCTATTAGACTCTCGACCCACAAAAATAACTCGAAACTCCTGGAACAAGTCACGCATACTTCGAATCTCCTCCAACAGCATCCCTCCATGGACATCATCTACATCACCCTCCCGGATATTCCCCACGATCACTTGGGCGTCACCTGCAAAAATCATTGACTGGAATCCAAACGCCAAGCACCATCGAAGCGCATCCCGGAAGGCCAGTAGTTCCACAAGAGCCGGCTCCGTAATCCCCACATACAGTGCTGCCGATGCTGCCACCACCATGCTCGTGGGATCCTGAAGAGCCCAACCTCCCGCTCCATGTGAACCAGGCGCCGTAGCTCCATCCACGAACATCACGAACTCTCCCAATGGAACATCCTCACGGCCTCTGACACCTGAGCCCCCTGAGTAACGACAAACACCTCGGCCGGTAAGTATGCCATCCCACTCCGCAACCTGCAAACGAAATTGAGATAACAACACCGGAACAATGCACTGAGTCAACTCAAAGACCACCCAGTTACGGGCCTTCCAAATGCGCCACAAAAGGGCTACAATATGCATCATGGCCCCCTGATCAAGTTCCCGCCACTCGAGTAACGTGCACCAAAAGATCCCAACATTGCAATGAGGGAAGAGATCGCGAATGGCCAGTAGCTCCGCCCCTTCCCACAACCCCACCGCTACTTGGCAGTGGAAGAAGAGATGTTCAAGAGATTCCCCCTCCTCCCCGCAGACTGGACATGGCTCCAACCCCCTACCCCCCGAGTACTCAGTGCCTCACCAGCTGGCAAGACACTGCGAACCATCTGCCATATGAAATACTACAACTTGGGAGGTATGGGAGCCCCCAAACCCTTTTCCAGAGACTACGATCCCAAACCTGCACTTTCACCTTCACCCTTAACTCCTTATACCTCCTTAGCTCCACTGCTAGGTGATAGCCAAACTTGACCGTATAGCGACCTGATTGTTCTCCATTCCATACCATACGATCAGGTACCGGAGAAATAGGCAACAGAATAGCCAGAATAGCTCGGACAAAATCCTCTTCAAAGATCTTACGTAGGCAATCCACCCTCCAAACCCCTTGGTTTGGGCAAATTAAAGATGCAACTGATCCCTTGGCCCTAATGATCCTCGGACGATGTGTCGGGGGAGATGGATGCAACGTTGGCACCCAATTGTCCGTTAGCACATCTATCGACTCACCCGAGCCAACTTGCCATCGCAGACCTTGGACCAGCAAATCACGTCCATGCAGCACCCCTCGCCAACCCCAAGAAAGTAAAGATCCAGCCTTGGCCACCAGAATAGAGGAGTTGGGAAAGTACTTACCCTTAAACACCCAAGCTAACAGAGAATTAGGCTCTTTCCAAATTCGCCACGCCACCTTTGCCAACAAAGCCTTATTAAACTCCTCAAATCGCCTAAAACTCAAACCTCCTTCATGTTTACTTAAGCACAACGATTTCCAAGAAACCCAATGAATCCGCCGCTCACCCTGTTTCACTCCCCACCAAAATCTAGCCAAATGCCTATCCAGTAAACGACACAGTGACAGAGGTAGAAGGAAGCAAGACATTACATAGATAGGCAAAGCATTAGCAACAAACTTAATAAGGACTTCCTTAGCAGCCCATGATAAACATCACTGCTTCCACCCCTGGAGGCGTTGAATGACTCGCTCCTCAATATACCTAAAGGTATCATATTTAGAGCGCCCCACCAGGGACGGCAAACCCAAATATTGATCTGTAACACCAATGGCACCCACTCCAAGCATACGCCCCATCTCTTCTCTATCAGCTGCTAACGTATTTCTGCTAAAACAAATCGCTGACTTAGATAGATTGACTTTTTGACCACTGAGCTCCTCATACTGCTTCAGAACCCCAACAAGGTGTCCACATTCAGATCGTGAAGCTCGTAGAAACAAATACGAGTCATCCGTGAAGAATAAATGTGAGACAACAGGGCACCGGGGGCTAATACGAAGACCGGTCAAAACACGATTTGAGATCGCCTGCTGGAGCAAAGCAGCGAAACCCTCAGTGCAGATAGCAAACAGTAGCGAGATAAGGGATCACCCTGACGAAGACCTCGCGTCGCCCTAAAATACCCTGAAGGCTTTCCATTCATCAAAACAGAAAACGTCGGAGAAGACACACACGCCCGTAGCCATTTGATCCATTGCGCACTGAAACCAAGTTTCTCAAGCAATGCGAATAAAAATGACCATTCTACTCGATCATATGCCTTCTCCATATCAA